CTGAGTTCTGGGGACACTTTATTTGGAGGTTAGAATAAAGTAACCTCCCCTGAAAGTTGGACTAAACTGCCATTTAATTCACATTAGTGGATTTCTTGTTGCAAGAGAGCTTTGGTTTGTTTTATTTTTTTCCAAACCAGCAAGTGGGGAGTAACATATTCGGTCAGTTTGGAAGCTTTTGGAGGTTTAACAATCTTATGTTCCCAGTTTCTGTTGGTATTTTAATGGATGTAGCGACGTAGCTTTGTTGGAAAACCTCCCTGATTCCTAACTCCACTATGAAGCACTGGCTGGTCAGTTCTCCGAAAACAAAATGACAAAATTTTTAGAGTCAGAAACTGTAAAAACAGGCAGAATTGTTGGATTTCTGACATTCCTTGAAGGAACCATGTGGGACATTCAGTGGCCAAATTAAACCAGTGAACAATTCCAACTTGTAGATGTCGATTTGGAGGCTAAAAGTTATTCAGATAACGGCGGCATGTGTGATAAGTTTAACCAGCAAGTCAGTCTCTAAACTGGAATTTAATGTTGTGTTTGATTTCAGTGCACAGTTTGGGCCATCATTTTTAGTTTTGCCTTTGTTTTTTCTCTAAATAAGTTAATCTGTTTATTTTTAGAGCTATTGGTTTATTTTTATATTTTGTACTATTAGCTGCCATAGCACTGCAAGTTTCCCCACAGTGGGATTAATAAAGGCTTATTTTATCTTATCTTAAAACCGATCATCTGGCCACTGCTGTTATTTTTTTTTGTTTTGTTTTTGCTGAAACAAGAGTTGTTATTACAAAAAAAAATGGTAAGAACCGGACACTTTTAGGTTCATTTTTTTGATGGAAGCAGCACCACCTGTTGGTCACACCGGCTGCTATCGTAGTAGAACAGCGGAAGAATAAAGTAGGAGGCCATACAGGTGTTTTCAACTTGTGTTCGTGCATCTTAAGTATTTGTAACATCATGAGTAACTCCACGCTGACCAAGGTTAGCGTCTACATGACAGATGTTGGACTTTTACCTGCAGCTGCAAAAATAATATTCGTAAAAGTTGTTCAAAATACAAGAAACTTGAAAGGAACAATAAATAAATGAAAAAAAAATCGGACAATCCTAACTGCTTTCACTTTCCGCAGCCAACCAGAAGCCCAGGCAGCAGCTCGGCGACGCCTTCAGGAACCCCCACCAAGAACTCGGCCCTCCAGGACCTGTACATCCCCCCTCCGCCCGCCGAGCCCTACACACCCAGGTACTTTCTGTTTAGAAGAGCAAAATGCAACTGGTGACAGCTGAGATAAGCTCTGACTTTGATGTACACTTGTTTGCCGGTAAGAAGAAGAAGGAAAAAAAAAAAAATCTGCCTCTGCTGTTGCCATAGAGATGAGACAGGAGCCTTGTCTGGAGATGAGGCATCTCGTAACCATGGTGGCGTCAGCGTTGCTAAGCGCTCTGAGTCACCGAACTCCTTCCTGGATCAAGAGTCTCGCCGGCGAGAAGAGGAGGAGCCCGTGTACTGCACCACGCCTACATATGGTTCGCAATTATCGTGGTTGAGTCTTTGTGTGAGAGCGAGAAAGAGAGGAGTGAGTCCAGTTTCATTCTACCGACTTTAGCCACTTAAAAACACAATAACGAGGGTAGAAATCCACCCGCGGGCCCAGTTAAAGGTGATGGAGCTGGTGAAATAAGTCTCCTGCAGTCGCTTTAAGATTGCTAAAAGAGAGTTTTTCTTGCTCCGACTCTTCATTAAATGTGCATGATGTGAAATACTCACAGGACACACACAACATATTTCTTTTGGAGAACTTTGGGATCTGCGCCAGAGCTCGAAACTTCTGGATGCACGGCATAAAGTCGGAGCCATCTGCGAGGCTAACGTTAAGTTTTGTTATTGTGTGCGCTTGTAGGCAGGCTGAGGCCCATCTCCATGCCGGTGGAGTGTAACTGGGTGGGCGACTACGAAGATCCGGCCAAGCTCAACCGAGAAAGCCGCAGAGGTGAGCGCCGTAGTGCATGTGTGTATGTGCGTCTCCTGAAGAGCCTGTTAGATGTTTGTTAAACGCTCCCGTCTCTACGAATTATAAAGAGATCAGCCTGTGCAGATCAATGCGCCTCCATCCTGCTCTCTAATTCTCCCTGTGATTAGCATCACAGAGGTACGAAATAAGAGGGGATGAGAAGGGAAGGAGTGAGGAGGGGGAGGAAAAAAGGAAAAAAGGTAGACAGTCGGCACAAAGGCAGAGAGAAAATGAAAGGCAGCTGTGAAGGGAGGAAGAATGGAAAGAGATGGGGGAGGAGGAGGAGGAGGAGGAGGGAGAAAAGGAGGGATGAGAGGAGGCAGGAAAAAAAAAAAAAAGACTATTCTCCCTGACCTCCACCTGAATCACTCACACAGTTGCCATGGCGACGCTGACAGCAGCTCTTCTCGGTGTCTCACTTTCCTCTGGCCGCTGCCTAGCAACCAGGGGAGGACATGAGGGTGGGAACCGGTGGGGAGAGAAAGAAAGAAAAGACAGAGAGGGAGAGAGAGAGACATGAGTTTTCTTCCCCCGGTGAAAAAGGTGGAATGAAGTTTAAAAAAAAAAAAAAAAAAACAGGTGGAAAAGACTATTAGACTTCCACAGTTGTGCCGATGGACTCACCCAGAAAACAGCCCTGCAGTCTGAGAGGATGCATCAGCTCTAACAGGGAAAAGGACGTTTTAAAAACTAGCGCTCCCTCATTGATAAAACTGAAAAAAACTAGTCCGTGTTCGAGTACAAACAACGGTATTGATTATGCCAACACCTGAAGCGACCCGTGTTCTTTCTGAAGAGCAGCGTTTTCTGACAAAAGCCAACAACTCGCCAAAATTACACCGTTTATCGGGGTCAGAAACTGCAAAATCAGACAGAAAGTGTTGGATTTCAGACATCCTGTGAACTAACCACGTGCGGCGTTTAGTTCTGTGGTGAAAATTAACCAAATCTAATCAGGATTCGATTTAAAATTACACCAAAAACGAGCCTTTCGCACGAAATTGTGCAACTAAGAAGCGATGAGTGGCTCAGCTGGAACAAATAGTGACGGAGTAAAAATTGAGGCGTAATTCGGTTGAACTGCAGGATGTGTTTAAACAAAGCACAGAGCGGAGAATCACAGAAACAATTAGGGAGATGAAAAGCACAATATGACATTTTTAATCAGTAAAATAAATGACTCATAAATGGTTTACAGAAGAGCAAGTTGATGGAGGATACATTCAGCATGGGGAAACAACTAGAGGTCTAAAGCTGATGTACATAGCTTTAAGTGGTGATAAAAAATGTAAATAGTGAAATATCTACAACATATCAAGCAACAAAGAATCAAAGAACTTTACCTTTTTGTCTTATGGTTCACAGACAAGTTGTTTTTTTTAGTTCTCTCTCCTTCCAGCAGTGGTTCTGCTGTTTCCATAGAAGTGCAGGACTTTGTATTGAACTGAAAACGAGCCTGAACTGAATAAAAACCTGACAGGAGCAACATAACAAGTAGAAGCTGCTTGGAATTTATGATCAAATAGTTATTTGTGGTTTTTTCCTTCAAGTCTGGTACAAAAACATTCCTCGATAACCAGTTTGCGTACACACTGGGATGCTTGACTAATTGGAGCCTATCAACCTGTGGATGTGAACTATGGTGCATATATAAGCTAAAGCTAAAATATTGATGCTAGATTTTGGATGTACCAGAGTTTTCCTTGAACTACAATAACTCTGTCGTGTTTCTAGTATTTATTGGTTTGCAGCAGCTTCCAGTCTTCTTCTTTACTGGCTTTGCTGGTGCATTATTTACTGGGAGGAGCATGAACCTGGCTGTGTCTGTGCATCCTCTGCATGGGACCTTTAGAGATGTTCAGGATAAATGGGATAAATGTCTTTGAATCAGCCTCCTGGAGAGAATTTGTCTCTATTTGTCCTTATTGTACAGCATGTGCTGACTTTGGTCTCCTTGTAAACAACAATGACTGTAATCTTTTTCCTAAACTTTAGCCATTAGTTAAGAGAATCCTCACACGACAAACATGCTGACGTTCATGTGATCACACGTGCCGCCGGAGTCTTAATTAACCTGTTGGGGGTGCTACAACAAAAGGGCAAAACAATCAGGCGTAGATTTAAAGTCTTTGCACTGTGTTTAGATATTTTCACAATAACTGATTAGCCAGCGATGACTGTCTGATTAAAGGTCGAAAGCTCAAACACTGCTGCCCGAATATTTTGTTCAATCTGAATGATGTGACCTTTTAGCGCTGCTCTATTTTTAAATTTAGCCTCTAATCAACCCAGGACGCCTCGTCACACGCAGCGCTGATGAGGACAACAAAAGTACAAAGTGGAGATCAGCGCCGATCGGTTTATCTGCAGCTAATACCTGTTTTTTTGTTTCTCAGAGGCGTCGCTGATGCGCTACGTGGGACTGTCCGGTGGAGACGAGCGCACCGGTTCTGACGACTACTCCTCCCACACAGCTCGTCCCGGCAAACGGTCCAATGACACGGCCAAACGCGCCAAGAGGCGGAGCCACCACAGCCAAAGCCCCTCCCACTACGTGCTGCAGACAAATCAGAGGGATTCACCTCCCAGAGACCCCGCCTCCATTTATCATGTAAGGAAGTTGTTCTTTTTGTTTCTTTAAAATGTATGTGATAGAATGAATGTTATGTCTTTAAACTTGATGATGCAGCCCTTGAATTGACTCTTGAATTTCTCTCTTTTTAATAAGTTTTATCAGGTTTTCAGGCCCACAGTTTAGCTGTAAATGTCTCTGCAATTGCAAAGAAATAGTTTGTTTAAGAAACTAATCAGAAGAGAGAATCGATGCCCCTTTTGTATTTGTGCGTCACTTGTCAGGAAGACTGTTAGCTTAGCATGCAGACCGGAAACAGCTCCACCTATGAGCCCAACAAGTTTTATATGTGTGTAGTTTTTGCACTTTTGTTTTTGTTTTTTGTTTTTTATGTGTACTCAACACGGGATGTATAACATGCTTTGTTAGCGCTGGGAACTGCATGCAATTCTATTGTAAAAACTCCTAGTGTATAATAAATAATGTGTGCTTCCCATCATTATACTTTAACGATCCTTTGTAGATAAATTCTAGTGAGTTTATGATCATTGTGGTGGGAACGTTAACCATGTTAGTGCAGACGATCTTTAGCATTTAGCATCTAACCCAACAAAATAAAAGTCAAGAGTAGCTTAACTTTCTTTTATTTCAAGCCTATATGTGTTTCACAGGGATGTCACAATACCAGAGCACAGGCTGTTCCAATATAACTAAAATTCACTGATTCTTAATACCAATGTTGATGCAATTAGCCTCAATATGAAGCTAAAACACTCTCTATCTGTACATTATTCCATGTACAGATCTGGAAGTCTGTCTTTAAGCTAATTAGATAAGTTTGAGGTGTTTCGTCTCTTCGTTCCAGATGTTTGCATTTTGCCTTTCAGTCATGTGTAATTTGACCCTGATCATAGACTCATGCATAAAATACATCCGTACGCTACTTTGTTTTATTTTGTACAAGATGCAGTCGACCTTTCGCTGCATCTGAACCGGTTGATCCACATGTTGATGTCCAGAATGTTTCGTACTTGCAGCGTCTATTTTTAGACGCCACATATACCTTTAAAAAAAAAAAAAAAAACAGTACAGTCACGTTTTCAGAATTTTTGTAACAGACTTAATATTATAAACCTTCATCCTTCCAGCACATAGAAATAACAACTAAGGTCCCTGCATATTAGAGAGAGAGAAAAAAAAATCACTGCAAACTGTTGACTAATTTCTCAAAATATCATTAGTTATGTAATTAATGTCATCTGAAAAACAAGATGATTATTTTGGGAAAATTACAGTGAATTTGCATAATATGTCATTTTCTTTCATACAAATTGCAGATTTCATCCCAAGCACAAGATCATTTACCATCCTCCGATCCTGGCATTCTCCTCACGGTGCTATATTTATGAAAAACGTCTTCTAAATTTTAGCAACACCTATCTTGATCATCTTGCTGCCGGAGCCTAAAAAAAACAACAACAACACCGATAATATAATCTAGAGTTATTACAGCCAAACTCGCCTCGGAGCTCCTCGAATCTCTCCCCTTTGCACGAACCTCCTCCTCCTCCGTTGTGCTTTTTCCCACACTCCGGCTGCACGTCAATCACTGTTTCAGCTTTATCTCGTGTAAAAGAACACAAACTGTCCCTCCGATGGTGTGCGATACTTTAAATTAGGAGCCACAGCAGATATTAAATCAGCTGGAAATGTGGTGAGTGCATTGGTTTGTTTTAAAAGTAAAACAGAAAACGATGATGTGAAGTCATGCAGAACAGAATGAGAAATTCTAAAAAAAAAGTGCAGCTTTGGGGTCTGAGGGTTAATATATACACCGACTACAGTACTCGTGCATCAACCCTGCTCTCTGTGACCTTCCAGCATGGAGGATGGAGGTGTTGTGGTGGAATACAAACGACATACCATCCGTGATCAGCGGTGTGTCTCCACAGGAGCTGGCATGTGCCCCCGATCCAGGGGTGACCGCTCTGACGCCGGCCGTGGCTACGTATTAAACGCACAAATGTGAAGCTGGCATCGATCTGCTCATCTTGGCAAAGAGAGCCAAAGTGTAATCTGTTAAGACAAAGTCTGTCGGAATAAAGAATTGTGACTGACGGGAGCTCTCAGAGCAGAAAAAGCCCAACAATGAGCCGTTACCATCAAACATGTCACCGGAATTGATGGAAAAGGAGCGTTTGAAGTGTTGCGAAAAAGAAAAAAACAATTGATCCCAACTCTGGGTTGCAGCTACCGACTCAAAGATTGCATTATACGGCTGCACGCTGCGGATCAGAAACTCGACAGGAGAATCAGGTTATGAAACTCCCCCGACTTCCCCTGAGTTGCCTCCTCTTTCTAATTCGTTTAGATACTGATCTAACAGTCAGAGATTAGGGATTTGAGAGAAAGGAAAACGTTTAGGCTTCCACCCCTGACGGGAAAGTTGCTGCGGTGGAGTGTGAGCCGAGCAAATGCTGACTCGTTATTACCCCCTGTCACTTCCATGACATCTGTCCGCCCCGCCTGTCCGCCCGAGCTCTCCGGTCCAGACGAGTCAGTGTTGGCCGGCGGTGACCTTATACGTCTTGACAGCGTCTCTGTGGAAATTAAAAGTGTTTGCATGTGTGCGCTCGCGTGCCCGGGCCTCGGTGTGTGTTTACAGTGCGCCCGGGCGCTGCGATGGCAGATGGCGTGTCAGTGGGAGTGGGCGGGCCCATGTCATCCGTCCTGCCGAGCGCCGGGCCGCCAGTGGCCGAGCTCCAGGCTCTGACATGTGTAATATCGTGACATCAGAGCCGGTTCTGTCGCCCCGTCCGACATGTCCGGAGAGGTCACGTCTTAAATATGCTGGTCAGGGGTCGCGGAAAGAGCTGCACACTCAATCTTCTCTGGCTCATTTTTTTTAGTGAAATGTGAACACGGTGACATTTTTTTAGAGTCAGTGCGACTTCTAACTTCCAGACATTTAACTCAGATGTCCGTTGCAGATGAATCATGTGGGGAATTGATAAGTAGTGGAAGTTTGGATGGAAAATATGGTCAGATATGAGTCTAGTGTGAAGCAGACAGCAGGTTTCAGAGCCCGGGATTGAGATTGTTTTGTTTCTTTTGACTTCTAAATATCGGATGACAATTAGCAGGAGCACAATAAGGTTTGAGGTTGGCAAGATGCTGCCTCAACTTCTTGATTTCTCTAATTTTTGCATGGTTAGGATATAAAGTGTTCATTTTAAGGTGTTTCGTGACGGAAACCTGGAAGATTCAAGACAAACATATCTGATAAATGCGAAAGACAGTCCAAAAACAGCATAAAAATAACATTTCAGCTCAATTAATAAGGTCAAATGAAAGTTACAGTGTAGTTTAAGATGTTTAAAAAGCCTCAGGTTTGATTTAATAAAAGGCAGATTGGTTTAAAAAGACCTGAGAGTTGCACCAGATCTGCAGTTTTTTTTTGTTCCAGATATGTGGTGCGTTAAAAACTGAAAACTGCCTCTGTGCGCTTTGTTTTGACTTTAGGGACAGAAAGTAGAGCTGAGGGGCCTGAATGGTTCATAATGTAGCAGCACATCAGAAATTTATTCAAACCAAAGGAATGAATTAAGACTGTTAAAGCCTTTAGATTGAATTTGTTAAATGGAATCCGTCGTAGCGCTAACCGCCTTTGCCTCTATAGAAAACTCTATATGGTATTAGCACAGGCTTGGAAAAACAAAACACAGAGAAAGCATGAAAAAGTAGTAAAAGCAGATTGAACAAAAATGACACAAAAAAAGTCAAAGAAATTAAGTCAAGGCATGACCAGGAGGGATTAACGTGATTGAGGTTTGCAAAACAACAATCTGTAATCGGATAACAGGCGAACATAGACCGTCTGAGTGAGTCTACTGAAGAATAAATCCTGTGCAGTAGTGACAGAAGGGCACCGTGATCTCAGAAGACAAAAATGAAAACCTTATCTGAAAGAAATGGACCTCTTATGAGCTAATTTGGGGATTTTACAGGCAAGAAACGAGCTTTAAACTTGACTTTTAACTTGTTATTATGCAAAATACGGATGCACAAATATACATACAGGACAGAGAATTATTATTATTCCTATTCCTAAATAGCCCAAATGATGAATTAATTACATTTCTATGTAATTATAAGATCTCACAAATAGAAATTTACATTAGAGTTGGTGTGACGCCTGAACGGTTGTGATATATTCAGGTTGTCTCATTTACATGATCCCACCTCTGGTTGTGAGTTACTGTAATTGACTATAATGAGCCTGATGGGTTAAATAAATGATAAAGGACGGGCTTTTTTTTTTTTTAGCTTTCTACTCTTAAATAAAAAGACATCAAAGAACAAAACTGCAGAACTTGCCTGCGACTCATCACGTTTTGAAGCTGCCTCCGGTATCAAAGCGATCCGGTGATAGTCGCCTCTTTGACAAAAAACAGAGCCGCTAATGGCTAATTCTGCATAACTTGTAATGATGCCAAGTAATTGGGCGAGTCGGGGACCCGCTGTGACTTTGGAAACCCTTGTTTTTGATATTTGCCCTTCGTGTTTTGCTTAGCGGAGCTTCTGTTTAATCCCGGCGGACCGCCGGGTTCTATTTTCACACACTTGTTTTCATTACCTGAGCGTCCTGTCGCGCCACCTGAACTTCCGTTTCTAACTTTAGAGGCGTGAAAGCCGCCAACGTCCTCCGCCAGCTCTCCGTCGCCACATGCGAGAGCGAGATAATGAGGGAGGAGAGACTTTTGTGCGTGCACGTCTTCGGCCTCGTCTCGCCCGCACCGGCTCCCCCTAAGATCTGTCATCTTTTATATCCCAGGATTCATTGCAGCAAACAAAGGCCACTGATTCATCCTGACAGCCTCCTCTCTCTCTCTCTCTCCCCCTCTTCTTCTTCTTCTCTCTCGCAGACATACCAGCAGTCCTCCTCGTCCCTGCAGTCAAAGAACAGGAAGAAGAATAAAGGTAAGCGGGGGAAGCCACCTGTTCGATGTGGGCAGATGCTGCCAGTTGTGGTCACTCACTCATTCGCTTGTGCTAATGGAAGCCGGAGAGCAGCTGCAGCTTCGGATGAGCCAGTTCTCTGAGTCGTGCTTCATTTTATGGCTCTGCAGTTCACTAATGGTCTACTTGGGGAAATAATTTGGTTTAATTATAAAGAAAAAAGACCACTTTCAGATAGTATAGAGCACAGATGCAATAATGGGTTAAATTTACAGAGAAGCTTTTGACCCATTATTAGATTTCTGGGTATTTTTTTTTTTTGGCTCCTGGAACAGTTTCCTCACTGGGGGCTCATTTTTCACTGCAGTGTAAAGTCCTGCACCTCTATAGGAGCAGCACAACCATGGCTGGGGCTCCTGTGTGCAGCATGACACAGCTATAAAGCCATAAATCATAAAAAAAAAAAAGTGACAGTGCAGTTTCTTTTATTATTTATTTTGCAAAAATTGCAGAAACCTGGAATCAACATGTACAACATCTGTCCCACAGGTGTTATTAGCGTTGTAAACTACACCGCCTGCAGTTCAGCCCAGAGCAGCTGAAAAGTCTCTGAATTTTTGCCATTTCAGTTTTGGTCGCAGCTGAGTCACAAATGACTTCATGGTTGTGTCGAGGAGTGCGAAATTTTTTGTATTTTATAGAATTAGTTTAGGACAAACAGCTAATCATAAAATAAAACATTTAGAATAAAGTGATTCTGATAAAATATCACAGTTTTAAGCTTGGATTTGGTTAAGTTGAAAATCCAACGAATCTTCATGTTTTCACACTTTCTGGATGTGATTAATGGTGCAATTTCTGTGATTTTATTTAATTCTTTCAAGACAACATGCTTTTAAACGTCCCTATTGGGTTGAGACTTTTTGTCAGGCTTCATTTTGCTTTTTATTGTTGGAAACAGCAAATATTTGATATTTTTTGCTTTAGAAATGACATAAAAGTTGTGATGCACGATTTTAAAATTTCTGGCAGATACCGATATCCGATAGTAAGATTTCTGATATCGCCGATAACCAATATTACCGATGTCGATATTACATTTTTGTTCACACCGAAACAACACATGATCTCCTTTATTACGTAACAAAAGTAAAAGATATTTAAACATGTTTAAACATATTTAAGTCCAGGACCACTTAAGTAAAAACGTCTGTGAAATAGCAGCGATATCAAATGTAGACACAAAGGCACTAATGTTAGACAATCATCAGCTAAATTTGTTCATCGGACCATATTGGAAAAACCACTAATATGAGCCGATACCGATGTGGTCGCTGATGCATCGCGCATCCTAACATAAAAGAATAATTAACTATTAAAAGCAGTGCTGATTATTTGATTAATTATCTAATTATTTCAGCCCTACTCAGTATCACAGTCCTTTCGGTGCATTCTCCACGTTTGGGATCATCTATTAAGCAAACGTTTCTTTTCCAATCTGGTGCAATGAGCAGTTATTCTGTGGTAACATGGACTAAAAAAGTTCTCACAGATTTGCTTATGAGGTACTTTTCCCACCTTGTAGTCATTTCATGCTCATGCAGGCTGTGCAGAGAGCTCTGCTTTAGCATTTCACCGTGTCCTGCTCATTTTACATATTTCCATGAGTGTGCTGCAGAGCAGGATGCTGCTGGCGACACCACGAGATGTCTTTATAATGCTGTAAAGATGAATTCTAAAATATGACATTTGTTTTTTGTAAGATCACTTCTTTCTTCTGATAAATGAGCACAGTTCAGACGACTGTTTTCCTTCCCTTTTTTTTATTTGGATGATTCTCCTCCCTGCTATCAGTTTCTTCGCCTCTTTGACCAAACATGCTGGAAGTGATATTTTCTGTTTTTCCACAGGCCTTTGACTCGTTTCACCATCTGCCAGTGTGAGAAGCTCCGAAAGCTTTTAGCTCCATCTGCACGTTTCTGTCCTCGGCTTTGTTTGTTTACAGCAATTAAACCAAAGTTTCAAAAAAAACGATAATGCTGATTAACTGGCCGCTTCGTGTGGCCGCTCCCCATCAAAGCCGTAATGAAATATTAGTTACTCTTCTGGTCCGGGCGGAGGAAAGATCTTCATTTTCTAAAATGAATGAGCCAAATTGGTGATGGTATCGGTTCGCAGCCTGGAGGTGCTGCACTGAAAAATCGAGAATAATCACGACTAGGGAGCATTTTTTGCGCATTCTCCGGATCTATAGTGTCCTCTTTATCAGGGTATATAACTTATTAATTATCTCCAGACTTGCAGCCTTTTCATATTGCATGTTTGAGCTTTTTTTTTTCCTCATGTTATCCAGCTTGTGTTTCCTTCAGAGACACACACCGCCACAGAGGGAAATGGAATATTGAATCTCTGTCCTCGTTAAAAGACTTTTCATACCGAGCAATAAAAGTTTCTGCTCGGTCCTCAACTGGGAGCCAAGTTTCCCCCCCGGTGATCTTTAATGAGACGCCTGCTGTGCAAAATGTTACGGGGCTTTTTTTTTATGCCAGAAGGAAAATGCACTTTTTATTAAACACCTCTTACCTTGCTGCAGCGCCGCAGCCTTCTGTCAAACGCTCCAAATCCACAGAGCGAACTCTTGCCAAGAATTATTGCGACATTAGGATGTGGCATTTTGTGAAAGCTTTTTATTCGCGCTGCTACGAGGGACCAGGAGACGTTAGAAGCAGTATTAGTGCGATGCTTTACCCTCCGAGTGACACGTTTTGTGATTTATATTGTTTCTGTCCGCGCGCCGCCTTCATCGTTTCCCTCCCCGTGTCGTTCCAGGACGAGCTTTGGCCTCGCTGAGTCGGAGGCGTGTTTCCTGCAAGGCGCTGGGCAGAGGAGACTGCGAGGGCTGGCTGTGGAGAAAGAGGGACGCCAAGGGTTACTTCTCTCAGAAGTGGAAGAAGTACTGGTTCGTTCTGAAGGACAACTGCCTGTACTGGTACATCAACGAGGAGGTACGTCTGCAGCCCGACTCGCTGACAGATAAGAAAAAAAAAAAAGTGATGGTTTCTCAGAGTTTGTAAGAGATTGCAGCATGTTTTAAAGAGGGAGGAATCTGAAACACAGAGGCAGTGATGAAATTTGTCAAAACTGGGCTTGTTATAGCTTCACGCAAGGTTTTGAAACAACTCTGTTGCTGCTGTGTGAAGAGAAGAAAAAAAATAAAAAAAGTTTCCCTGAAGTCAAACTTTATTCAAATAATATGATACAGTAAGCGAGCGACAAAGATTTCAGCCTGATTTCAGCTTTACGTTTGTGTAAATATGGGTTTATGAACCTTGTGAACCTTTTGTGAACCAGTCAGGGAAACATCTCGACAACTATTTGTC